CAGTCGATAAGATCCGTAAGACCGCCACTGGTGACCTGCTGATCATCCTCACCAAGGAGAACACAGATGGAGGCCATGGCCTACAAAGTGCCATAGCTGGTCTCCTTGGAGAGGACGCCGAGGTCATTAGTAAAGGCCCACAAGAGAATCTTGAAATCCGAGATCTCGATGAAACGACGACGAAGGAAGAAATCCTGGAGGCCCTGCAGAAAAAGGCTGGAGATGCGTGTGGAATCACGTTGGACGCGGTCAAGTCACTGCGTAAAGCCTATGGGGGTACACAGACTGCCTCAGTGGTTCTGGCAGCATCAATGGTGAAGAAGGTACTGGGGGAACACGGCAAAATCAGGATTGGCTGGGTGAATTGCCGAATAAGAACAGTGGAGAGACCAACCAAGTGTTTCAAGTGCTGGCACTATGGGCATCTCGCCACCAAGTGCAAAAGTCAAGTGGACCGGTCCAATCTCTGTACCAAATGCGGAGAGGATGGCCATAAAGTCGCGGCCTGCCAAAATGATGCTCAATGTGCCTTGTGCGTCGAGAAAGGCAACACGAAGAATTGTGCCCACATTGCTGGCAGCAGCAGATGCCCAGCCTTCAAAGAGGCATTCCAGAAGGTGAGAAATAAACGAGTATGAGGATACTCCAGCTCAACCTCAATCATTGTGAGGCTGCGCACGATCTGCTTATGCAGACCGTGCGCGAGCTGAAGCCAGATCTTGCATTGATTTCGGAGCCATACAGACACCTTGCCACTCAACCATGGGAAACGGATAGCACCGCTAAAGCCGTTATCTGGTCCTGCGGCAAGTGCCCGTTTCAGAACGTTGTAAATGGCAAAGAGGCCGGTTTTGTGATAGCCAAGCTGAATGGAATTCACTTCTACAGCTGCTACGCTCCACCCAGCCTCTCATTTGAGGAGTTCACAGATTTATTAGATCGACTGACCGAGGATGCGAAGCAGCACTCTCTCGTGGCCATCGCCGGGGATTTCAACTCCTGGGCAGTCGACTGGGGCAGCAAGGAGACTAATGCGCGAGGGAAAGCGCTACTGGAAGCCATGTCGATACTGGACGTGGTCTTACTCAACAGCGGTGACAAACCAACGTTTATCAGGGGAGAGGCAAGTTCCATTGTGGACCTCACCTTTGTTAGCAGTAGCCTCGTTAAGAGGGATTGCTCTTGGGAGGTGATGGACATTTACACAGCTAGTGATCACTGCGCGATACTATGGGAAGTATCTACCGGGCAGAATACTAGAAGAGCACGTACGAAGACCAATAGAATTGGTTGGAAAGTGAGTGGCTTTGATTCTGATGCCTTCACGGTGGCCCTGGACGAACACCCAACCAGTGGCAAAAATGCTGAAGAGAAGGTAGAAGACATGATGAGGAGAATCACGGAAGCTTGCGACGCTAGCATGCCCCGGAAATGTAGCATGCACAAGCATCCATCGGTGCATTGGTGGAATGATTGTATTGCTGACCTCCGTAGAAAGTGCTTCAGCAAGAGAAGAGCGTCACAACGTGGCCGCGAAAGACCAAACTCCGAGAAACTGGTGGCAGAGTACAAAAAGGCACGCCGAAAATTGAACAAAGCCATCAAGGATAGCAAAAGACAGAGCTGGAGTGAGCTGATCGAGGAAGTAGAGGAGGACCCGTGGGGCCGGCCATACAAGGTGGTCATGACACACCTGAAAAGCCAGCCAATGCCATCACCGACATGCCCTCAACTCTTAGAGAGAATTGTTACGGCGCTGTTCCCCCAACAAGTGGAACTTCATCATCCCACAGAGCAGTGCACGATAGAACAAATTCCACAGATCACAGTAGAACAGCTGATGGAAGCTTGCGGTAGAGTGGGGAATACAAAAGCTCCTGGCCTGGATGGAATCCCGAACATCGCACTGAAGACGGCCATAAAAACTGTGCCTGCACTGTTTTTGGAAGTCTACAATACGTGCCTTGAAGAGGGTACTTTCCCTTCGAAGTGGAAGCACCAGAGACTAGTACTTCTCCCTAAAGGGAAGAAGCCGCCGGACGAACCATCATCCTACCGTCCGCTCTGCATGTTGGACACAACTGGCAAAATCCTCGAGCGTATCGTTCACAGGAGGATCGAAGCAGCAGTTGAACCGCTACTTGCCAACAACCAATATGGCTTCCGGAAAGGTCGCTCTACCTTGGACGCGATTGACCTTGTCGTCAATACAGCCAAAGTGGCGATCGCAGGGACCAGATGGAAGGGAGGTTCGAAGAAGTACTGCCTGGTGGCAACACTAGACATCAAGAACGCCTTCAACTCCGCCAAGTGGGATTGTATCATGAAAGCTCTCGTAGAAATGAACGTACCAGGATACCTACGCAGAATGGTAGCAAGCTACTTCACTGATAGGATTCTCAAATACGATACAGAGACTGGTCCTAAAGAGTACAGAGTCACTGGAGGGGTACCTCAGGGCTCGGTTCTGGGCCCTCTTTTGTGGAACATCATGTACGATGGGCTGCTGAAACTAGTATTGCCAGGGGAAGTCAAGCTCGTGGCATATGCAGATGACGTGGCCGTAGTGATCGTCGCGAAGCATCTCGAGGAGATAAACTTTGCTTTCGACACCACCTTCGAGAAGATCAGCCAGTGGATGGATACAGTTGGCCTGAAATTGGCAGAACACAAGACTGAGGCAGTGCTCATTACAAGTAGGAAGCAGGTGGAGACCATCACCCTACAAGTTGGAGCTCATGAAATCACATCCCAGCCATTTCTTCGGTATCTGGGAGTGATGATTGATACCCGACTTAACTTCAAGCAGCAGGCAGAGCACGTGGGTGCCAAAGCGTCGGTGGTCAGAGCGACCTTATCACGGCTGATGCCCAATATAGGAGGTCCGAAGCAAAGGAGAAGAACATTACTGTCGTCAGTAGTCACATCTGTGCTCACATATGGAATGCCCATCTGGGCTGATACGCTCAAAACCCAGGAATCACGGAGAAAAATCGCGCCAGTCTATCGGCTGAGTGCCTTGCGAGTCTCCAGCGCTTATCGCACAGTGTCTGAGCATGCAGTTTGTGTCATTGCCGGGATGCTGCCCATTGAAGTACTAGCCGAAGAACGGAGAACACTTTACCGGCGAAAAGGATCCACTACATTGAGCTCGGAAGAACTCAGAACAGAAGAGCGTCGAAACAGCATACGCCGATGGCAGCTGCTGTGGGATACCGCTACAAAAGGAAGATGGACACACCGTCTTATCCCACAGGTGGATGTGTGGCTGACCCGTGAACATGGCGAAGTCAACTATTACCTGACCCAGATGTTGTCTGGACACGGGTGCTTCCGTGAATATCTTCATCGGTTTAAACATGAGGATTCTCCAGATTGCCCGTCCTGCCCCGGAGTCAGTGAAGATGCGGAACATGTGTTCTTCATGTGTCCTCGTTTTAACACACAACGCAGTAGTTGGGAAAATGTCCTTGAAGAGAAGATTCGGTCAGAGACCTTGATTAAAGCTATGCTCTCGTCAAAGGCAGCCTGGGACGCAACGAGCAACTTCGCAGCAGAAGTTATGAAGGAGCTCAGAATTGAGGAACGTAAGCGTAAAGCTGCAGAATAGAGGGAAAACCTATTGGAACCTCCTACCCACACACACCATCTTGGTAGGGAGACGTACATTAGGCGAATAATGAGGAAGAGCAATCAGCTGAGACCTCCCTCGTGAAGTCATACTTAACGGTCGTACCGTGAGGGGATCAAAGGTTAGTGAAGATGTCTGAATGGAGTTTAGTGGGTATTGACAATCTGTCCGAGTCCCACACTCACCTGACGGAGGGAACCATCATCCCCCTCCCTTAGGTGGTCGTGCCTAAATGCATTCTCCCAACAGACGAAAAAAAAAAAAAAAAAAAAAAAAAAGACAGACACAGACACAGACACAGACACAGACACAGAGACAGAGACAGAGACAGAGACAGAGACAGAGACAGAGACAGGGACAGAGACAGAGACAGAGACAGAGACAGAGACAGAAACAGAGAAAGAGACAGAGACAGGGACAGGGACAGGGACATGGAAAGGGACAGGGACATCGACAGGGATAGGGACAGGGACAGAGACAGAGACAGCGACAGAGACAGAGACAGAGATAGAGACAGAGACAGAGACAGAGACAGGCACAGAAACAGAGACAGAGACAGGGACAGGGACCGGGACAGAGACAGAGACAGATACAGACACAGATACAGAGACAGAGACAGAGACAGAGACAGAGACAGAGACAGAGACAGAGACAGAGACAGAGACAGAGACAGACACAGACACAGAGACAGGGACAGAGACAGAGACAGGGACAAGGACAGGGACAGGGACAGCGACAGACACAGACACAGACACAGACAGACACAGACAGATACAGACACAGACACAGAGACAGAGACAGAAACAGAAACAGAGACAGAGACAGAGACAGAGACAAACACAGAGACAGAGACAGAGACAGAGACAGGGACAGGGACAGGGACAGGGACAGGGACAGGGACAGGGACAGAGGCAGAGACAGAGACAGAGACAGAGACAGAGACAGAGACAGAGACAGAGACAGAGACAGAGACAGAGACAGAGACAGAGACAGAGACAGAGACAGAGACAGAGACAGAGACAGAGACAGAGACAGAGACAGAGACAGAGACAGAGACAGAGACAGAGACAGAGACAGAGACAGAGACAGAGACAGAGACAGAGACAGAGACAGAGACAGAGACAGAGACAGAGACAGAGACAGAGACAGAGACAGAGACAGAGACAGAGACAGAGACAGAGACAGAGACAGAGACAGAGACAGAGACAGAGACAGAGACAGAGACAGAGACAGAGACAGAGACAGAGACAGAGACAGGGACAGGGACAGGGACAGGGACAGGGACAGAGACAGAGACAGAGACAGAGACAGAGACAGAGACAGAGACAGAGACAGAGACAGAGACAGGGACAGGGACAGGGACAGGGATATGGACAGGGACAGGGACAGGGACCGGGATAGGGACAGGGACAGAGACAGAGACAGCGACAGAGGCAGAGACAGAGACAGAGACAGAGACAGAGACAGAGACACAGACAGAGACACAGACAGAGACAGAGTCAGGGACAGAAACAGGGACAGGGACAGGGACAGAGACAAGGTCAGCGTCAGAGACAGAGACAGGGACAGAGACAGAGACAGAGTCAGCGACAGAGACAGAGACAGGGACAGCGACAGGGACAGGGACAGGGACAGGGACAGAGACAAGGTCAGCGTCAGAGACAGAGACAGGGACAGAGACAGAGACAGAGTCAGCGACAGAGACAGAGACAGGGACAGCGACAGGGACAGGGACAGGGACAGGGACAGAGACAAGGTCAGCGTCAGAGACAGAGACAGGGACAGAGACAGAGACAGAGTCAGCGACAGAGACAGAGACAGGGACAGCGACAGGGACAGGGACAGGGACAGGGACAGAGACAAGGTCAGCGTCAGAGACAGAGACAGGGACAGAGACAGAGACAGAGACAGAGATAGAGACAGAGACAGACACAGGGACAGCGACAGGGACAGGGACAGGGACATGGACAGGGACAGAGACGGAGACAGAAACAGAGACAGAGACAGAGACAGAGACAGAGACAGAGACAGAGATAGAGACAGAGACAGAGACAGAGACAGAGTCAGAGGCAGGGACAGGGACAGGGACAGGGACAGGGATATGGACAGGGACAGGGATAGGGACAGGGACATGGACAGGGACAGGGACAGGGACAGCGACAGGGACAGAGACAGAGAGAGAGACAGAGACAGACACAGGGACAGCGACAGGGACAGGGACAGGGACAGGGATATGGACAGGGACAGGGACAGGGACAGCGACAGGGACAGAGACAGAGAGAGAGACAGAGACAGACACAGGGACAGCGACAGGGACAGGGACAGGGACAGGGATAGGGACAGGGACATGGACAGGGACAGGGACAGGGACAGCGACATGGACAGAGACAGACACAGACACAGGCACAGACACAGACAGACACAGGCAGACATAGACACAGACACAGAGACAGAGACAGAAACAGAGACAGATACAGACACAGAGACAGAGACAGGGACAGGGACAGGGACAGGGACACGGACACGGACACGGACACGGACACGGACAGAGACAGAGACAGAGACAGAGACAGAGACAGAGGCAGAGGCAGAGACAGAGACCGAGACAGAGACAGAGACAGAGACAAGGACATAAACAGGGACAGAGACAGGGACAGGAACAGGGACAGGAACAGAGACAGAGACAGAGACAGACACAGACACAGACACAGAGACAGAGACAGGGACAGGGACAGGGACAGGGACATGGACAGGGGCAGAGACAGAGACAGAGACAGAGACAGAGACAGAGACAGAGACAGAGACAGAGACAGAGACAGAGACAGAGACAGAGACAGAGACAGAGACAGAGACAGAGACAACGACAGAGACAGAGATAGAGACAGAGCCAGAGACAGGGACAGGGACAGGCACAGGGACAGCGACAGCGACAGACACAGACACAGACACAGATACAGACATAGACAGACACACACACAGACACAGAGAAAGAGACAGAGACAGAAACAGAGACAGAGACAGATACAGAGACAGAGACAGAGACAGAGACAGGGACAGAGACAGAGACAGAGACAGAGACAGAGGCAGAGACAGAGACCGAGACAGAGACAGAGCCAGAGACAGGGACAGAAACAGGGACAGGGACAGGAACAGAGACAGAGGCAGACACAGACACAGACACAGAGCAGAGACAGAGACAGGGACAGAGACAGAGACAGAGACAGAGACAGAGATAGAGACAGAGACAGAGACAGAGAGAGAGAGAGAGAGAGAGAGAGAGAGATTGTAAAGTCCTAATTCCTCTCCGGAGAGTGTCATCTGTAGCTACCTTATTCCCGTCGCACATGGGGCAAAAACCTCCTTAGTCATGTCAGTTTAGTTTTTGAGGAAAAGCGAGCTATTGGACATCTCGTTACGCTACGTTCTACGCGTTTCGATGTTCTCTAGCCTTCGTTAAATTTTGCATTCCGGTTGGTCATGGGGGCGCTATTTTTCTATTACCTTACCGTTTGAATGGTTGGAATGCAAAACACTAAAATTTATATATCTCTCCATCGGTAAATAATTTAGGTTTTCACGCGTTTATTGATTATTTAATACTAAAAGCTACCTATTTCGGTGGAGAAAACCTCCGTCTCCGGTTACGAAATTCTCCCTTCCGGTAAATCATCCCCGTGGCTGCTTTAAGCTCTCTAGCTCTTTTTGCTATCTTTTCGGTGGTTAATATCCCGAATTTTCATACATCACACATGGCGAACCCTCGGGAAATAATTATAAATGCTCTCCAAATTCTAGAATTCGAACAATTATCACCCGAAAATAGGGAAACGCCTATAACGTCCCAACTCTCTCGATTTCGCATAGCCGCCTAGTTCGTTTTCTCTCGCACTCATGCTACCTCCACGCTTCCTCTCTTTCGGATTCGTGTCCACCTCGTGGACGCTTTTTGCTTCTGCCTATCAGCTTCGGGTAGGGTTCGCTCTTTCTTTTTCGTATTAAAAATTGCAATCTCCATATTTTTTAGTCTCTTGGATTTTTATGAATTAGTTTAGCGTGTTTAACATTGTTTTGAGTCACACTGATGTAATTGTGTATTTGCGAGAATCTACGATTTTATATTAATTTTGACAATAGCGAAACACGTCAGTACAATTATGTTTTATTATTTAGTATCGATTTTACCTATCCCGTTTAGAGTTTAAGACATTGGTTTATCGGTTTGTCGATCGATGATTGGCTTTGTTAATTGATGTTCTCGTCCACGAATCCACCCCTCTCTCCACGACCCACACACTGAGCAACCGTGTAAATCCCGTACCCTCGTAATCCACAACTCTGCGCATGGTTTTTCTTTATGTTTTTTCTCGTTATTAGATTTTTGGGAACATCAGTATTTAGTTTTAAGAAAATATAGTTCCGTTTCCGTTTCGCCGATTCCGCGTTGCTAAATATCGGCTGGCGCCCTAAATATTCGAATTAAGGATTGAATGAGCTGCTGATGCTTCCTGGAGTCCACTGTTATCGTTATGGTTTTTGGCGTTTCAAATTTGTCGGATTATGAGAACGGAGGTAATGATTTGGCCGTATTTGCATAATCGAGAATTTTGGGTTCGAGTTTTATTGCGTATTTGTTGAAGCCAAACAACAGTCATTACCAATCATGTAATAAATTCTCATATATTAATGCCAATAAACCATTAGTGGGATTTATCCCTTTAAGTCTAGAACCTGCTATAATTATAAGTATCCCCCCCCCCACACACACACTTGGGACAATAATTAAATGGCAATATAGCAAAAACTTCGTATGAATTGGTATGCATATTTTGAGTGATCTAGAGGAAGGCCGCCGAAACGAGTATTTTGAAAAAAAATGAAATCATTCGTGTAGCTTGGGAAATATTAGACAAAATAGATATTTATATTATATATCATATTATACATCATATTATATTCATATTATACTAGGTTTTTCATATTATACTGGAAAAATCATACCAAATTTTAATTGCTAGGTTCATTTTTTGACAACTGATCGAATGATCAAAATTTTTTGTTTCTGAACAGATGGAAAAATATCAATATCTCGTAAACTTTGTATCAACGGGCGATTGATCTCGAGAGAGACCGTCGAGGAGAGTAGTAGGAAAGATTGACATTGTTGTAGTAGTTTCTCAAATATTTCAACTCCGTAATCACCTGTTATAGGCGCCACGGTTCGTCACCACTCCACATATATTTGTTCACATTGTGATCCATCACTTATGTACTGTACATTAAACATGAATGCTACACTGCGAGCCCTGATGGCCGTAAGAACACATGCAATGACTTTGTTCAAAAATTGGAATTAATGTACACAACAGTATTTTATATAATATTATTGCGCTCGTGTCATCGACGGATATGCATCCTAAAATCTATGATGTTCACGTGTGTCAGTCTAAAATCGTTGAATGTAAGAAAATCGACGAAGATGCGGTTAATTGGTGCATCGAAATTCGAAATTGTTAAAAGGATGTATTATAATCGCGCATCTAATTTTTCATCAGCAATTGACCCTCACCTGCAACCATTCTTCGGTTGCCTCCACATCCTGATCCTCTTCTTCCTTGAACTCTTCTTCCACCTCTCTCTCGACCTCCTCGTTTTCCAAATGATCCTCGTCATACTCATTGCCATTTCCGTTTTCAGTTTCATTTTCATACGCATTTTCGTTTTCTTCAGTTCCTTCTTCTATTGAATCATAATTATTTATGATATCCATTCACAAAGCATCTTGACTCACCTTATTTGATGTACCATTTTCAATGCAGGGTTGATTTTGACAGTCGATTGTCTGCTCCAGCTCCAGACTATTACTCGTAGTTCTGCAACGTTTCCGCGCTTTTTTGTTGATGAAATTCCGTGATCGTGTTTTCATTCCATCACCACAAGTAGTTGTGCACTCGCTCCAATCAGTCCAGTCGCTTAAGACACACTCAGGGTTGTTCAGCATTGTTGCGTCAAGATGGAGGCTGAAGATCAATTAATTTTTGACTGATTATGAGAATGTAATGCACAGTAAATATCTGAATCTGAGAGAAATGAATTTTCCTTACGGAGTCTTCTTAAGGAAACCATGAGAGCTATCGAAATGGTTTTCATGAGAATTGCACAATCTCGCTTGGGACTATTACAAAGTAAATGTTTTTTAGATATGATGAGCACATGAATAGTATCTTCTGAAATGTTCTCCACTAAACTTGCTAACTTGTAATAAGTTTTATTTCTACTAAAATTTCAGAAAATTTTGCCGTTGAATTATAAATAAATATTTAATAAAAAAATTCATAGGAAGCGTTAATTTTAAGTTAATTCTTCAAAAAAATGAGAGAAAATTTGTAAAATATAGGTGGCTATATTCTTGAAATTTCGAACAACTGAAAGTTCAGCCCACATTGTTATAGAATATTCATATTTAATGGAAATTGCAATGAATTGTGAAATTGACTTTTTATTTCTCTTGCAAACCATTTGAATTCAGTTAAGTTTTAGATCAAACTTGAATTTCATAATACTTCTTGCCCAAAATAGAATGCAAGGTCACTCTTCTGAGGACTGCTTTTCAATTGTTCATGATATTCAATTTTTTTCAACAATTAATCGTCTTCTTGAAATGAAGCCTTCCACCTGCGAAAAAAATATGATATCGACGATTTAGTAACAGAGTCACGTAATTACCAGAGATGGTCATTTCCAGAAGTGGAATGAACCATCTCTAGAAAAATGCGCTGTTGATCTTCGCTATTGCAAGATTATCGAAATAATAATTTTCAATTTTTTGTTGAACGTCTCTCCAATCACATTCGATCACATATACAAGCGTAAATCCCACTTACGTCCTTCGGTGTCAAATAAATTTTAAATTAGCAAAGCGGCATTGAGGCTAAGTGGAACGTTGGGGGTGAATGGAACGACAGTAAAAAGGGTATGCTTAGCGAAATTTTATCAGGAATATGAAGGATCGAATATTCTGAAGGGTCAAATGTCCTTGAGGGTCCGTCAGGTGGAATGATAAAAAAGATTGAAAGTTTCTAATGATCACATAGGCGAAAAAAGTGGCTTAATTAAAAGGTTTAAACGTTTTGAGCTTTACGCGGAGAAACGAACGCAGGGGAAAAATATTCTTGGTCGCTAGTAACAATCTCAGATTTCGATACTGACAAGGAGAGGCCGGCTGATGTCGGACATCGACAACATTCAGTCTTCATGTTGTGACATGACAAATGTCATGCACTGTCTTCGCCTAAACTGACCGGGGATTTGTTGAGGAGGAATTAGAAAAATGAAGTCCAACGAGGAGTCGGATCACCCAGAGCCACATTTTTTTTAGTTTTATCTTGGTATTTATAATTTTTTTGTTTTGTAATTTGTCTCCTGCAATGCTGCGCTCACCGATTACCTCAAGCATCATGACGAGGGGAGAAAAGCGGAGCAGCGGAGAAAAATTTGTAAAGTCGGTAAAAGTAGGCTCATCGAGCCTCACACACGCCACCCAGCACGCGGGAGAGAAGCACACTAACAGGCGACTCAGGCCTCTACATATGACCCCCACCACCTCACCGATGTTTCTGTGGCACAAGGCCACCACAAAAAAACACATGTTACAGCATCGCACGAGCGGATTATGGTAGCTTCTGCGTCGTTCGACGCGAATCATCATCATCGACCGCCAGGCGCAAATTCCAATTCTCTTGGACCAGGAAATTATAAATTAGGGCAATTTAAGAATTGATGAAATTAATGCGGCTATATCGCGCTCACATCGGGTGATTGACGTGGGGGAACAAAGGAATTGAGGTTCCTCGGGGCGATGTATTTCCCTGAGGGATGCTCCTCATTGGGATCTTAGCACGAGTAGATCGTTTTGCTTTTCGCTTGCAGAGTTTGGAACCAAATTTATTATTCCACGCACTTGTGGTATATGGAAGTCATATTCCTCTGAATTTGGTATTACCAAACCGGAGTAAGACCGTCCGAGGGAATTGTTTTCTGATTGTGCATATCACTCGGGTACACGGTGAGCGTAATTTTTTTTGTGAGGATCCGCGTAGTTACCAACGCATTAATTCACTCCGGCATCCGTTTTGGACCGGTTTGAGCCTTCAATACATTCACGTTTGCGACAAGGCACTTAGCAGTCTTCAGCTAATCACTGAATTATTATTGTTCAATTATGTGTGACTTATTCATATTACATTATATTCATTGTTGGAATTGCTGTTGAACATTACGGGTTCGTTTATTCCAGTCATTTATTTTTGGAATTTTATTTTCTTTTGTCGCGTAGCTCTCACGTTATCGTCGCGTTCCAGAGATCCTAGCGTCCGTTGCATCATCCACGCCATTTTCTTTCGGATATTTTGTATTTGAAATTAATCAATATCGTATGGATTATTTGGGATCCTTTATTATTTAGTATTCTTGATTATCATCGAAGCACCATAATTTTTTTATTGCGATTTTTTAACTTCCCGGGCTGGGAAGTTATTGTAATGCCTCCGAAAATGAAAAATCGATTTTCCATGATATCTCCACATTTCAAGGTGTTTCTAATGTTCCTCTATAGTTTTTAACAAAATGTTTGTGGGTGTGTGTGTGTGTGTGGGTGTGTGTGTGTGTGTGTGTGTGTGTATGTGTGTTACTTTGTACGTATGTGGTCAAAATTTTGGTCAACGGTTTCTCCTGAACGAATGGTCCGATTTAACGTTTTTTTTCTCTCCAATCGATACGTCTTCATGTAACTTAGACCGGATTAGATTTTGGTTGATATTGGTCTGATGGTTTTCGAGTTATTCCAGAACGAAAAATTCAAAATAGAAAAAAATAACCAAAAATTTCTCATTCTTATAAGATGCTCATAACGAACGATTATAATGAAGAAAAGCTCTTCATTTTCTCCAATTTTTTTCATATATTTTTCACCATGATGTTTTTTCCGTTTTTTTATAATTTTTTATTTATTTTATCAACTTCCCGATCTATCGGGTAGTTATTGTAATCACCCTGAAAATGAATCATTAGTTTTTTGCGATTTATCCACGTTTCTCGGTGTCTAAAACACTTCTAAACAACATGTCTATATGTGTGTGTGTGTGTATGTGCGTATGTAGATCTGTATGCCACGGAATTTTCATTAACGATTTCTCCCGAATGACTCGCGCGATCAAGATGATGGAGGACGCAATCGAAAGGTCTTCATATAACTTAGACCTGATTAGATTTTGGACTGATTCGCTCCAGTACTTCTTCCAAATTTTCCTGGAGAAATGTTTGAAAATGGCAAAGAGAAGTATTTCTCCTGTAGAAATGACGTGATTGGCATTGTCAACATCAGGATATCACTAGAGTCAATCACTCCAGTGATTTATCTAGGATTTTCTGAAACTCCAGTGATTTTTCCAGTGGTTTTTCCAAAATTCCCTGGAGAACAGTTTGAAAATCGCTCAGACAAGGGTTTCTCATGAATAAATAAACAGAGTATTGAGAGTTGAAAAGGATTCTTTTAATCAAAATGGGAGGAATAATAATATCGAGAAGTTGTTGGTGCGACCCGTTCGACGGGGCAGACCCATATGAATACAGCCGCTACCAACCCACCCACAATGGGAGCGAGCGTAGCGAGCGACCAACAGCCCAATCCACTAGTTGTGTATGGTATCATGTGATAATGCAGTTTTTCAATTTTTCCGATTACTTCTGAAAATATATTTCTTTTGGTGTCTATAACATGTTGAAAAATCTTTTTTTGTCAGAATATATTTTATTTATTATTGTTACATGGTGTCCACAGGACAATTTTTTTTATGCCTATTCCCACACGCTTCCGCTTTTTTATCTGAGCTAGGTGAGAAGTACAGGGCTGGGTATGCGGAACCTTATCCGTTGGGAGTTAAACGGAATGGCACCCTTTTGATATCGGTTCCTCTCGAATTGTCCCCATCGAGCTAATTTCTGTGGGCCGAGAGTTACCATCCAAGGCGACCAAAAATTTTTACCCTAATAGTTACGATTTCGATGGTGTCACCAGTGATGTCCCCCATCAAAGATCTAGGGGCGGATGCCCAATATTGAGGGTGAATTGTTGTCTCAAATATTTGAGTATAACATATGTATAAGTTCTCGAAATATAGTTTTTGAAATACCGCTTTAATCAAGTGGCTGTGCGTTCGTCTACCAATTGGATAGGCGGAGTTTTTTTCCATTCCATTTTTTCATTTTTGAAGAGAATGACTCCTCGTCTACTTAACATCAATAATTCCGAGTAAAGAAGCCCCGTAGAAAAACAAATGAATAAACCGGATCAATGGAACCCTGTTTCTTCCTCCCTTTTTGTTAGGATAAAAACAAAAACATAGAAAGCCCTGTAAAACGATGTGCTAGAACCTGAACAACCCGAAAATTCAATAACACAGAAGGATGAAGACCTTGGTTTTCCTGATCGTTGGAGTGAATCCCGTAAACATGAGATTGTTGGACAGCCAAATCATTCAATGGTCATAATGACCACAGCCTAGACAATATATTCGGTCACTGTCTGAGGGGAATCTCCGGAAGGATTACAGGAGCTGGTGGATGACGATAATCAGTTATGACATGGACTGACCCCTGCATGACAGTTGGACATTATGGAGGAAGTGCCAAACTAAAATCGGGGAATAGTTGGTCCAAACTCATTGGGAAACACTCCACCATAGCTGGAATGATACGATGGAGGTTCCATCATGTCACAAAGAAGAAATACCCAAACAATTGAAATCAATTGTTGTTAATTAATGGTCAGCTAGTGACAAGGTTATCACCAATGACAAGGTTAACTAGAGCGCCGGTAATTAGGATTACACGACTATTGACCCAGTGATGGGCCCAGTTACCGGCAAGGGTAAACCTGTTGAAGAGGTACGGAACGGCGCCACCTTCCAGCCATTCATCATAAAAAATAGCACCGAAAATTCAGAAATGACTATTGTAGCGG